GTAATTTTCTCTCACTTCATCCACTCTTGGTTTGCTCCTTCTTTTCCTTTTATCTCCTTATAATCGGATTTTCTGGCCTTTTTTATAGTAATACATTGACCTGCTGAGCCAATGAGGTAAAATTATATTCCATACAATACGGTACAATACAATAATACAAAAATGTGTCCGTAAAATTTGTGTCTAAGGTGCATAGCGCAACTCTGCGTGACGATGAGAGCATTTTGACATACATATTGAGTTGTGGGTTCATGTTTGGATAATTAGAGTGTCCGGATAATTAGAAGTTTTTTCCTGGCATTTTGAGGTTCGAATTATCAGGATTTCACCTCTATATGCTTTTTTTGCCTAGCTCATCAAGCTCATCAGAACTGATGGAAATAGTTTTTTTTCATTGATTGCCTACATCATTGTATTGCAAAAACGTTTCAATGAGTTTGAATATGAGGAAGGCAAAATTAATTGAAGGTTTTATTGCGAAATGTTATTTTCTCTCACTTCATCCACTTTTGGTTTGCACCTTCTTTTCCTTTTATCTCCTTATAATCAGATTTTCTGGCCTTTTTGTAGTAATACTTGGTCCGTTTAATCGCAATTGTCGCTTATCTCCCACACATCTTTTGACAGGTAAAACCCAGTCCGATCTCGATATATAACTCACATTCGTTTGGGAGGTTGTGATGGAAAGATCAAAGGAGACCAGAAAGAAAAAATCATCGCGACTGGCGCCGGTGGCATCGCAATTCGTACAATTTTGATTGGAAAGTGGGGAACTTTTCGCTGCAGTGAATGCACTGCACTGCAGTCTGCAGTGAATGTGTGCATTCACTGCAGCAAAAAGCCAAGCGCAGCTCAAAGACCGGAACTGTAGCAGGATAAATCGACATCCTGACCTGGAGAGCGTGACAGTCACGGCCAGGTCAGCCAGCTCAGTCGCCACGTTTGAACTGCAACGGCCTGGCATTCTTTGCAAGCCTGCAAACTGATGCCTGATGGGAGATGGTGGCAAAGAAGACATTGTCCGACCTGGCAGTGGCAGTACAAGAGTCGTGGGCAGCGTATCCAGCAGAGCGTATGACAGCTGTCTGGATCGGAGAGGGATGTGTGCCTGATTCAAAAACATTGTTGAAACACAGAGTACTGTAGTGACAGACGGGTCACGCTGCCCACGTTCCTCCAACTGCCAAAGTGACAGCCACGACTGTTCCTTTCCCTTTGCGCCATACGCCAAGCGGAGAAAGCAAGAGATACTCTACGCCAGCAGCTATACAGATCAGCGAATGTCAGCTCAAGTGATATCAGCTCGAGTGATACAGAGCCAGAGTCGAATAAACTAGAGCGTGAGTGCAAGAAGGCGCTCCGTCGCTGTTTTCTTTTGTACATTTTTTGTAACCTTGCTTCCTTTCTTCGACTTTCTTCACCAGATTCCACCGCTGAATTTTTTTCTTGTGGCGGACAGGAATCATGTATCATGCTTCTTCACTATGCGTATTGGAAATTTTACAGAGCGGTAAAAAAAACTCCTGTTCTTAGTTGTGATAGATAAGCGACAATTGCGATGAAACGGACCAAGTACATTGACCTGTTGAGCCAAAATTATATTCCATACAATACGGTACAATACAATAATACAAAAATGTCTTTGCCTTGATAGTGTGCTTGTGCTTAACTGTTGCTGACGGCCGAATGCATGGTTGCCTGTGAAGCACATTAGATAACTTTACAGCCTCCTATAATACGCATCCTGTCCGATGGCAAAAGAGGCTACGGATTTAGTTTTTCTGCACTTTATCAGCAATGACTACTGGTCTTCAGCAACTTGGGTCTCCTATAACACAACCTGTCTACGCTTTTGTAATGCTTACATAATGCTCGGGATAGGACTCGCTACTGATCTTCAGAAATTTGGCCTGACTCTCACTCATGTAATGTTCATCGTTCTCAAGCGGTCGCTGGTATCTCCCACAATTTCATCATACTGTTGTACGATATGCTATACGACATCCTTATACCGTACAACACCGTATTGATGTCTGGCGCTATCGCCTTCATCTCTGGTGCGGGTGTAATCTAGTGACTTCGTACATGAGTTATAATAGACCAATCTCTTTGTCTGGGTTCGTGAAAAGGGCGATGCGTGCAAGTCAGCTCGTGTGATGTGCATGACCCCATACCTAGTTGGTATGTAGCAGCTTATGGGACCGAGAGACTTTTGCTCCCCGAGCTTGTGGATGTAAATCGTGTTTTACGTCGACCATGGCGGCTCGATTTGAACTGCAGAATGGCTGCTCCGATACGAACTCCAAAACCAGAAAAAATAATGGCTACGATTCCCAGCCATACCACAACGAACTGACCGGCTACATCATTGTATTGCAAAAAGTTTCAATCTGTTCAAAAGACAATGAATTATTTATTATTATTCAATGTAAAAAAAAGAAGAAACACATGAGAACGAGTTGTGCAGCAACTATCCACGACTGTAACAAGATGATAAATTGCCAGAAAGTGCGATAATAGGGCACAAAACTGACAGGCTACTGAGACATTCAGCGACCCGACGCCTAGCTCTAACACATCCCCAGTGTGCAAACCAAAACCGTCCAACTTGGAAGGTTCATGGTTACGTAGGACCGAAGAGGGGAAGGTGAGCGCAGCGAGCGAAAATGTCGCGGATAGTTGCTGCATAACTCGTTCTCAAGTGTTTCTTTTCTTTTTTACATTTAATTACTGGCTCAGTATCTGAAACTCGGGTATTGAGCCAATAATAAAAGTAGAAAGGAAAAGGACATATGGAAACGAGTAACTCTCCACCATGGAGATGTGTAGAAGCTAGGTGTCAGGACGTTGAATGTCTCAGTACTCTGTCAGTTTTGTGCCTAGTTGTTGCACTTTCTGTCAGTATCTGAGTTTATAAATATTAATTTATTATCTTAATTTCATGAGGAGCTAGGCAATAAAGCATAGCGTAGGACCCTGATCGAAAGAAATTAACTTTCTCTTTGCATTCGAGGGTAATACAACACTGTCTACCATCTTGATGGCCTAGGCAAAAAAGCAAAGTTGGGCGTGCATGGTCTGTTGATTCAACCATTCGTTCTATCGCGAACATGATCACCTATCCAATAGTCTATTATATTAATAATTCAGATCTTTTGCATCTTTCCCTCGAGTGGGTCTATTGTTATTAGGCAATTGTCTGTTATAGTCACCACTATAAATAAAATCCAATCCAATCCAATCCACAGGGATGTTATACATTTTTCTTTTCTCCTATTTTTTAAAGACATACTGTAAATATACAAAAATTTCGGCACTTCACGATTTTGGACATTTCGGCGGCGATTTATTTTCGGCGTGGGGTAGAGGGCATGGTATAGCGCTACAGATGCTGAGAAAATTTTCATCGGCGTTTTAATTTAGGCGTTTCGGGACGGTGCCGAATATAGCCGAAATTAAATAGCTGCCGAATATTTGTATATTTACAGTAACCCAGGATTTGAACTCGCACTATAGCCCTGCACGCATTCCCCCGATACACTTCGCATGCATACTCATTCTTCCAAGTTCTCATTAAGATCTTGCATTTGAAAGCCCTATTTCAATATTTGAATATTTGAATATTGTGGCCACCTGTCTTTAATGGAACGGTACCGGATAGCGGCAGGCATGCCGATGGCACAAACAAACAAACAAACACGGAATTAATGCTGTGTGGACCCTGGCTAGCACCAGACGTTACTGAAGTGACGTCTTTTGCATAGCTACGGGAATAACAGCCAGTGTGGTATACACGGCAAGAGTCATGAGTGTGTATGCGTGCCTGAAAAACATGGCATTTTCACAGTGCCCAGTTCATTTTCATCATTTTCGTACACACATCTACTCTCATGTCCATGTGGATGTGGCCATGTACGCCTCCTGCATGTCTATCAACTACTTGGAATCAAAAAAAAACTTTCTTGACCACAAGGCGCATTTGAAATTGCTTCGCATTCCATGTAAGTCTGGTAGAGCTTCGCACCTGAGTCCCTGTGACTCTTTCTTCTGGTACGTTTCCTCGATTTTTGAATTTCAATGACATCCCATATGGAACGAACTGTTGCCGTGTTGCTGTGAGGCCCCTCCGAGGATGAATGGAGCAAACCTTTGAGCGAAATGGGAATTTGCTGTTTCATAGATGTGTGGCGGATGCAGTCACTGGTCTGCGTTTGCCGCTTCTCGCCCAGCAGCCCACCAGGAATCCATGGGGCAACAACATCCTCGCGGCACGCGGATACACTCTGGTCGCGCCTACAAGCGAGGATAACCGTGACAGGTGGGAACTAGACTACAACACTCTCATGGACAGCTTTGCACACAACTGTACGCCCAACACACCATAGGGTGCTAGACTTCGTGCAGGCATAACCTAATCAATGGCAAGAATGTTTTGATACAAGCCCGAAAAACGTTCTAGCATTCCTATTACCGTACTCGCACGATTAGTGCTCTTGGAGCACTATTTTTTCGATGTCCATCACAGATGGGGCAGTATTCAAGAGAGGGCACTATTTTTTCATTGCTGGTACATTTGCGTCATCCAGCTTAGAACAAAGAAAAACAGAAGCTAAAGTGTACTGTAAACGCTCACGACTCCACAGAAACGGGAACAATACCTGCGATTTTGTTCCTGAAAACACCAGTGCAACGCAATGGCCAAGAACATTAGCAAAAGAACACCAAACTTGAACATGGGCTTGGTTACAAGACCGGTGGGGGGGAGGGCACTATTCAAGAAAGGGCTTGATTTTTCTCTGGCTCTTGGAGAGTAAGGCACTATTCGAAAGAGGGCTCTTATCGCGCGAGTACGGTAGTTGTGTCGTAAGAGGGGATTCGTTCCATTGGACATCAGCGATCGACTTCGTAAGCCTCCCATTGGCTCCCGCTGCTACCCAGATTCTGTCACGTTGCGCTCCGTCGAATGTAATCGAGGTATATTCAGAATAACAAGAACTCACCTGAACAACGATGGCAACTCGTCGGTTACAGACGCCGGTATAGGAACAACTGGGAGAAGAGTAGAATTACTGAAATCAACTTGACTGAATAACTTTGGCCCGCACTTGAAACTGGTACGCTTACACTCGCTTGCCAAACGTTTAGAAAACAGCACTCGTCCGACCAAAACAATGTCTTCACTTCCTTCCGAAACACCTTTTCACCTCCAAACGACCAAAGCATTACATTGTATTCTGTTTCTGCTGGCATCTTCTCAATATCCAACCGTTTATAACGGCAGTCTTGCGCGAAGGCAACCGACTCCTTTCACCGACACTGCCGAAGCTTCGTTTTCAAAATTTGAAAAATCCATGGAAACGCCTATGATGTGACCTTGGCTTGACCCTAGCCCTCGGCCTCGGCCTCACAGGCTCCGAGATCGCGCGTAGATCTGCGTGCGGTGACGATGGCGCGCGTGGTACTCCGGAGTGTTTGTCGTCCTCGTCGTTTCGACAAATGCGAGTCGTACTTGCGGACTTGCTTCTTTCGCGATTGTGCGTTGCATCCCCGCCGTTGGGGTCAGTATTTGACCAGGGCGTTGTCCATACCGCTTGTTTTGGATATGGTGCGCGGTGAGGTGAGTGTGCGGTCTCCGTTGAGCTGGGTTTGCGGTGCCCAGGTCACGAGTACGAGTCCGTAGACTCTATCACCTAAACCGTGTGTGTTGGGTTAATTATTTTTGTGGAGATCGAAAAAAAATCTCCGATCCGATTGGGTCTCTGCCAACTGGGTTATGGTTGTTGCCTTGATAGTGTGCTTGTGCTTAACTGTTGCTGACGGCCGAATGCATGGTTGCCTGTGAAGCACATTAGATAACTTTACAGCCTCCTATAATACGCATCCTGTCCGATGGCAAAAGAGGCTACGGATTTAGTTTTTCTGCACGTTATCAGCAATGACTAGGGAGGTTTAGTCCCACGTAATCCGTGGGTACTTTACGTGTGTGTACCACGTGATACTCAGTGACCCACGTACAGACGTTTTCTGATTCACGACATACCGTGTATGGAGGCTCACCCACGTTCCGCCAGAACGTGGGTGAAAATCAGAATGGAGCCCATTGTGCAAGCTGTGAGGGTGCTCAGCTGAAGAAGTTTCCGAAGCACGAAATCAAAATATTTGATGAGCTTCTTAGGCCCGGGTAGCTTCGTCTTTGACCAGGTTTGGGCCTTTCGCTTTATGCTTTTGTTTGTTCCGTGTGACTAAACACAACATTGCAACGTGGGTGCCCTTCATCCACTTTACGTGGATCACCCACGTACGCGTTTCCGTTACGTGGGAACTAAACCTCCCTACTACTGGTCTTCAGCAACTTGGGTCTCCTATAACACAACCTGTCTACGCTCTTGTAATGCTAACATAATGCTCGGGATAGGACTCGCTACTGATCTTCAGAAATTTGGCCGGACTCTCACTCACAGTAAGACTGTTGTAATGTTCATCGTTCTCAAGCGGTCGCTGGTATCTCCCACAATTTCATCGTACTGTTGTACGATATGCTATACATCATCCTTATACCGTACAACACCGTATTGATGTCTGGCGCTATCGCCTTCATCTTTGTTGCGGGTGTAATCTAGTGACTTCGTACATGGGTTATATTAGACCAATCTCTTTGTCTGGGTTCGTGAAAAGGGCCATGCGTGCAAGTCAGCTCGTGTGATGTGCATGACCCCATATCTAGTTGGTATGTAGCAGCTTATGGGACAGAGAGACTTTTGCTCCCCGAGCTTGTGGATGTAAATAGTGTTTTACGTCGACCATGGCGGCTCGATTTGAACTGCAGAATGGCTGCTCCGATACGAACTCCAAAACCAGAAAAAATAATGGCTACGATTCCCAGCCATACCACAACGAACTGATCGGCTACATCATTGTATTGCAAAAAGTTTCAATCTGTTCAAAAGACAATGAATTATTTATTATTATTAAATGTAAAAACAAAGAAGAAACACATGAGAACGAGTTGTGCAGCAACTATCCACGACTGTAACAAGATGATAAATTGTCAGAAAGTGCGATAATAGGGCACAAAACTGACAGGCTACTGAGACATTCAGCGACCCGACGCCTAGCTCTAACACATCCCCAGTGCGCAAACCAACAGCCGTCCAACTTGGAAGGTTCATGGTTACGTAGGACCGAAGAGGGGAAGGTGAGCGCAGCGACCGAAAATGTCGCGGATAGTTGCTGCATAACTCGTTCTCAAGTGTTTCTTTTCTTTTTTACATTTAATTACTGGCTCGGTATCTGAAACTCGGGTATTGAGCCAATAATAAAAGTAGAAAGGAAAAGGACATATGGAAACGAGTAACTCTCCACCATGGAGATGTGTAGAAGCTAGGTGTCAGGACGTTGAATGTCTCAGTACTCTGTCAGTTTTGTGCCTAGTTGTTGCACTTTCTGTCAGTATCTGAGTTTATAAATATTACTTTATTATCTTAATTTCATGAGGAGCTAGGCAATAAAGCATAGCGTAGGACCCTGATCGAAAGAAATTAACTTTCTCTTTGCATTCGAGGGTAATACAACACTGTCTACCATCTTGATGACCTAGGCAAAAAAGCAAAGTTGGGCGTGCATGGTCTGTTGATTCAACCATTCGTTCTATCGCGAACATGATCACCTATCCAATAGTCTATTATATTAATAATTCAGATCTTTTGCATCTTTCCCTCTAGTGGGTCTATTGTTATTAGGCAATTGTCTGTTATAGTCACCACTATAAATAAAATCCAATCCAATCCAATCCATAGGGATGTTATACATTTTTCATTTCTCCTATTTTTTAAAGACATAACCCAGGATTTGAACTCGCACTATAGCCCTGCACGCATTCCCCCGATACACTTCGCATGCATACTCATTCTTCCAAGTTCTCATTAAGATCTTGCATTTGAAAGCCCTATTTCAATATTTGAATATTTGAATATTGTGGCCACCTGTCTTTAATGGAACGGTACCGGATAGCGGCAGGCATGCCGATGGCACAAACAAACAAACAAACACGGAATTAATGCTGTGTGGACCCTGGCTAGCACCAGACGTTACTGAAGTGACGTCTTTTGCATAGCTACGGGAATAACAGCCAGTGTGGTATACACGGCAAGAGTCATGAGTGTGTATGCGTGCCTGAAAAACATGGCACTTTCACAGTGCCCAGTTCATTTTCATCATTTTCGTGCACACATCTACTCTCATGTCCATCACGAAACTCGGAGTTACAGCGGAATGAGACTTGTTTGATTCATTGCTGTGTAATATTCTACTCTCATGTCCATGTGGATGTGGCATGTACGCCTCCTGCATGTCTATCAACTACTTGGAATCAAAAAGAAAGCTTTCTTGACCACAAGGCGCATTTGAAATTGCTTCGCATTCCATGTAAGTCTGGTAGAGCTTCGCACCTGAGTCCCTGTGACTCTTTCTTCTGGTACGTTTCCTCGATTTTTGAATTTCAATGACATCCCATATGGAACGAACTGTTGCCGTGTTGCTGTGAGGCCCCTCCGAGGATGAATGGAGCAAACCTTTGAGCGAAATGGGAATTTGCTGTTTCATAGATGTGTGGCGGATGCAGTCACTGGTCTGCGTTTGCCGCTTCTCGCCCAGCAGCCCACCAGGAATCCATGGGGCAACAACATCCTCGCGGCACGCGGATACACGCTGGTCGCGCCTACAAGCGAGGATACCCGTGACAGGTGGGAACTAGACTACAACACTCTCATGGACAGCTTTGCACACAACTGTACGCCCAACACACCATAGGGTGCTAGACTTCGTGCAGGCATAACCTAATCAATGGCAAGAATGTTTTGATACCAGCCCGAAAAACGTTCTAGCATTCCTATTACCGTACTCGCACGATTAGTGCTCCTGGAGCACTATTTTTTCGATGTCCATCACGGATGGGGCAGTATTCAAGAGAGGGCACTATTTTGTCATTGCTGGAACATTTGCGTCATCCAGCTTAAAATAAAGAAAAACAGAAGCTAAAGTGTACTGTAAACGCTCACGACTCCACAGAAACGGGAACAATACCTTCGATTTTGTTCCTTAAAACACCAGTGCAAAGCAATGGCCAAGAACATTAGCAAAAGAACACCAAACTTGAACATGGGCTTGGTTACAAGACCGGTGGGGGGGGGCACTATTCAAGAAAGGGCTTGATTTTTCTCTGGCTCTTGGAGATTAAGGCACTATTCGAAAGAGGGCTCTTATCGCGCGAGTACGGTAGTTGTGTCGTAAGAGGGGATTCGTTCCATTGGACATCAGCGATCGACTTCGTAAGCCTCCCATTGGCTCCCGCTGCTACCCAGATTCTGTCACGTTGCGCTCCGTCGAATGTAATCGAGGTATATTCAGAATAACAAGAACTCACCTGAACAACGATGGCAACTCGTCGGTTACAGACGCCGGTATACGAACAACTGGGAGAAGAGTAGATTTACTGAAATCGACTTTGGCCCGCACTTGAAACTGGTACGCTTACACTCGCTTGCCAAACGTTTAGAAAACAGCACTCGTCCGACCAAAACAATGTCTTCACTTCCTTCCGAAACACCTTTTCACCTCCAAACGACCAAAGCATTACATTGTATTCTGTTTCTGCTGGCATCTTCTCAATATCCAACCGTTTATAACGGCAGTCTTGCGCGAAGGCAACCGACTCCTTTCACCGACACTGCCGAAGCTGCGTTTTCAAAATTTGAAAAATCCATGGAAACGGCTATGATGTGACCTTGGCTTGACCCTAGCCCTCGGCCTCGGCCTCACAGGCTCCGATATGCGCATGATTAGGCAGTCTCCAAATTTCTGACCCGGCACGTGCTCATCACTCAGGTACTGGCAAATAGCAATCTCTCTTTTCGCGTCCACAAGCAGCTCATTGTGCTCGAATGACGACATTTTCGGTAAGCGGCGGAGGTTGACCTTCCGACCTTCGAACCTCAACTTCTGTTAAAGCCTTAAAGGGGAACTGTCATCAACACAATTATTTCCCTTATACTTATAGGTAGGTAGGTGTATTTTTACTTGAATTCGCCGAACCAAACGTGCGGTATCGCCCAGATACGTGGACGCGAATGGAAACAATAAACTAGTGTAGAAAATAGCCTAATACTACTTTTATGATAGAGCAAAGCAAAGAACGCCCAGTCAATGAATAAAGTTATAAACAA